GTTTTGAGATTAAAATAACTCTATACAGAGAAAGTCAAAACATATTATAAAGTTCGATTCTCATTGTCCATGTTGGATCTAATGTTGAACGTTGGAAATTGTAAAAATTTAAATAAAAAAATAACAAAAAAATAACATAAAAATAAGTCAAGTTAACTCAAGTTAATTGTTAAGCATTGTTACGGAGTTATGAGACTATGATAATATAATGAAAAATAGGAATGAGCAAAAAAAAACTGAAAAACAGAAAAAACCAAAAAAAAACTGAAAAAAACCAAATGGTAAAAAAAAATAGATTAGAAAAATTAAAAAAGAAGCCAATTCAGTTCGGTTTAGTCATGGTTTTAAAATGCTAAAACAAAATAAACCGAACCAAACCAATTCAGATAAAAAATCAGTAATACTATAAATACATACTTTTCCAGCTTTTTCTATCTACTTTCTAAACCCTAGCTGCCATCTAAGTTTCACAATCTTCATCTTTTAACAAATCCCCCACCTCTATCTTCACTCTAAATCTTTCTCGGCCATGTTTCTTTATCTTCATCTCTCAACACAACCCCCCTATCTTCATCTTTCAATTCTTAACATTTCTCATTCATGTTTCTCAATCTTCATCTCTCAACATAGCCCCTTATTAATGTTCATCTCTCCATCTTTATTTAAGACTTTAAGTATAACCCTTCTTTCTCCCTCAAAGTAGATCTGGTGAACGAATCATACTTATTTCTTACCCCTCAATCTTTTTGTTTTTTTCTTTAAGCATGGCCGACTAAGCCCATGGATTAAACAATCAAACAGCAGCTCTGGAGCCCCCCCTTTCTTCAATCTTTATCTCTTAATTTTTTGTCCCTTTTTACTTCTTTTTTTATAATTTTTATAGATCTATCATGTATTCATTTGCTATATTTATTTACAAAGTTATTGACTAGTATGCTCATCTTGTGTTTACTATAATAGATATTGTGAGAATTATTTTTCTGAAATTTTCTTTTGAGTCTTGTTCTTTCTAGCTTTCTTATTCTTAATTTCAAAAAACTTCCTCGATATGTTTGGCCAAGATGAAATCGATTTTTTCTGATTTTTCCTTTCAATTAACTAAACTGAACCGAAACGGGTCGATTTGAACTTGTTTCGGTTCAATTTCAGTTTTGATTTAAAAATAAATAAATAAATGGGTTTGGTTTTTTTGGGTGAAAACCGGACTGAATCGAAAATGCTCACCCCTAATGAAAAACAAACAAAAACAAAAACAAATCATAAAACCTAATTCTCAATTAAACACAATATTATTTGATAAGTCTAGGGAAAAAATCAATTAAAAAAAAATGAGTCTATTACATTAACTTGCGGTCCAAATCATAAGACAAGAACATCCCAATAAAAAGCAAGTCCAATAATAAAGGACTCGTGACTTAGTTAATAAGACCAAAATAGCCTTTTAGAAAAAAAAAAGTGATCTAATTTAACCGCGGTTAAAATGCCAAAACTCGTGATCTTAATCTTAAGATGAAGATTTTCTTATAAAAAGAAAATCAAAATATATTATGAAGCTCAATTTTTAACAAATCTAAATATTGAATGATCAAATTAAAAAAAAATAATTAAATAAAAAATAAAAAAACAACCCGAGTTAAGTCGAGTTAATCTATTAAGCATTATTCTTGTATTATAAAATTAGGATAATCTAATGAAAAATAAAAACAAAATCATAAAATTTCATTCTTAATCAAATCAATATTAAATAATGAAATTGGAAGAAAAAACTAATTAAAAAAAAATCTGATTCAACTGAGTTAACCTGTCAAACTTAGTATTCGTGTCATGAAAGTATAATAACTAAATAGAAAACAAAATCTAATATTAAAAAATAAAATTAAACAAAAAAAATTAATTAAAAAAATAAAACAGAAAAAGCAAAGCCATAAAAAAAAACAATTTTAATAAATAATACTTTACGTGGAGAGAAACAATAAAACCCCCCTTCTCTCTTTTTGTTTATAGTTAATACATTCTTTTATCTTAATGATATGATTTTATACCTTTAAAGAACTTTATTTCATCTAAAGTAAATTATTCACTTTAGGTTCATTTATAGTTGAAAGAAAAGGAAAGGAACGTGTTTCTTGTTCTTCCATTAATATTAAAATTTAAAACTAAATTAAATCTTCATATTGAATCTCTTAATTTCCATGTAAAATACCTATTTTCGATCAAAATGCAAAAGCGGACATAATTCAATATGAAAAACAAATTTACTGTAAAACTAGAAAAAAAAATATAGAAAAGAAGATACACAAAGATCCATATAAACATACACTCACAAAAAAAGGAGAAAAATAAATAGGGGAAGGTAGGGCCAGGATCAAACAAGAAGAATATATGGAGTCATATTGTCTTTCAGCTTGTTTTTTAAAATTATATTTTGTCTGAAAAAAATATAATAATATTATTTTAAATATTTTTTTAATATTAATACTATTAATAATAAAATCTAAATATATTTTCAATATATTTTTAATTAAAAATTATTTCTCATCGCATTACTAAACTTAACTCTAAAAAGTAGTTCATTTGAATAAAACTTGAGTTTGTTTTTTAATAATTACGAGTTGAATTTTTTTATGATTATTAAAAATTTATATAATTATTAATTTTAAAATTAATTAAAATATACATACTTAAATATTTATATTAATAATAATAAAAATTATCTAATAATCCAGCTAGCCAGTCTAATATATGGATGGGGGACATGCTTATTATTTCTTGCTGGCAGTACAGCAAGAAACCATTTATGCAACAGCAAATTGAAATCTGATCTCCCTTTTGTATGCCTGTATATGTTCATGTCTAGACACTCATATTTATTTGTTCATCCCCCACAAATATATTGTTCTTGCTGCCTCAAAATTAGCCTTTCATTCTCTCTTGTCCACTCAGGAAATGAGATTGTTTCTTATGATAAACTGATTTTACTCTCTCATTTAGATTTAATTTATGTATTTTAACTTTTAAATTTTAAATTTCACCTTCTTTGTATATTAAATCATTAAAAAAATGATAAATTCAAGTCCAATCTTCAATTAAATAAATATTAAAAAATAAAGTTAAACAAATATTAATTAAAAAAAACAAATTCAAGCAAATCTTCTAAATTTAAGTTAATTTTCTAGATTTATAACTTATAAAATTCTAGATCTAAACTCCTTTAAAAAATTTAATATTAACCAATTTAATATTAAATAATGATATTAAAAAAATAACTTAAAAATATTTATTAAAATAAAAAAAATAATCAAAAAAATAATCAAATCTAACAGGAAAAAACTCAAAGAAGAATTAAATAGTAAAAACAATTCAATTTTAAAAATTATCTTATGTAAAATAATTTATTTTTTAAAATATTTTTTATTTGGAAATGTATAAAAATATTTTTTAAAATTTATTTTTGATATCAACACATTAAAAAAATTTGAAATATAAAAAATTAATTTAAAACATGAAAAAAATATAATTTTTTTTAAATCACTTTATCACTGCAAAAACAAATAGTTTAAAAAATAGCGAGAGAACTCCTATTATGAGAGACCCACGTAACGGGCTTTATCAACTCGTTGAAAAGAAAAGCATTTTCCCATGTGTTTAGTCTAATTGACTTGGAAAATTGATCTAAATTGACTGGAATTAACGATGAATTATGTGATTAACTTGAACTGGGAAACCATTCACTTGCTAATCAACTTTTGCTGAAAAATATGCTTTGAATATAGGGGAAGTGAAGGCTTTGAGTTGAGGTGTTTACAGGCGATTGGGAAGGAGCCAAAATCATTAAGAGTGATGGTCCCGCCTCCATTAATATACGTAAAAATCAACTTCTCATTCTCCCTTGTCCACACTGGAATGATTGTCTGTTTTGGGATTGTGTAATAAATAGTAGCAAAGAATTATGATTGAAAAAGAAAACACAAAGAGAAAATAAATCATAAAAAGCATGATATGAAAGATTAGAAGCTGAATCTCTCTGTCTTTTATGCACACAGCTAGGTAGAAAAGTGTCCAAGAAAATCCAAGACAGGACTCGTTCAAAATGATCCGAAAACAGTGCTCAAATCCATGCCCATTACTTCACAGCCTGTAATATAAAAGATAATCCCAAGCACCCCATGTGGGATTCTTCTCCTTTTCTTGTTCATCAACTCTCTGTGCTTCACTCGTTGTCTTGCTTGCTTTTCCTACTCGTTTTCTCTGCTTTAACTCTGATTTAGAAGAGCCCTTTTGCTGAGAAATCCCTGCTCGGGCTTTCTTGGATTTTCTTGGCCCAGCATCATCATCATCATGTGGGACTCTGAGAGTGAATCTGTTACTGGTAGAGATTATGAAAATGGAATCCTTTCCTCGAGCAAGCATGG